TCAGAGGCTCTGGGGAGCCAGGAGAAGGTCCTCCTGTGCCTATAGACTACCCAGACAGGATGTGGAGCAGCCCAAAGTGAGACTGCAGATGAGGGCCAAGGCTCTCTATGAAAGGATGTGGACCTCAGTATGTGAGAGTCCTGTCAAAGACCTGTACTCTGGAGGGAAGGCCCCAGAGAGCACTTGAACAGGAAGGGGCTTGTGCTGGGGGAGGGGCAGGGAAGGGGAAAGACTAGATATGATACCTATCTCTCAAGGACAGTGAGTCACATTTTGGGTTGCTCTGCCACCTCCTTTCTTCACCTGTTGAGTGGTGGGGATCTTGGTAAGCATCCCCCCTTTGGAACCTGGGCTCATCTCTAGTCACATCTGCTTTGGCTCAGTCCTGAAGCGCTGAAGGCCTGGTGCCATACAGCTTCATAGGCTCCAGAGGATGATGAGGTGTCGCTCTGCTCCCTCTGTTCCCATCGGGAGTTACTTTTCTTCCTTCTGATGGGGTTCTGTGCCCTGGAGTATGTGTCTCCAAGACACTATTGTCTTTGTCAACCCTGGTTGCTTGTGTACAGCCTGCATCATCATCCCACAGATTGGGATATTTTATTTGACATTCTTTAAACAGGGGCACATGTTTTGGAAAAGCTGTGGTCACTCTTTCCTGGCACAATGATGAGATGGCCTGTCTTCAGTCACAAGGTGCCAATGAGTCTCTGTCCTGTGCACAAGGAGACCATACCTTGGTCCCATAGGCAGCCATTCGAAAGCCTGGTCCCCATCCTCAGCATCAGTGATTAATAGCCAGTCTCCAGGGCTCAGAGGTGCAGAGGCAGACTCTTGTCTCTCTGAAAGCTGTACTACTGTTGGGTGCCCCAGACCTGGTGCTTCAGGTGCTCAAGTCCCTCCCAGAGCCTCTAGCCATTCTGCCATATAGCCTCTTTCACGGCTAGAAGCCTGCAGCTGAGGCCTCTCCCTCAGCTGGCTTTAAATGTTCATTTACTTATTTAATTTTTGGTCTTTTTGAGACAGGGTCTCTCTGTAGCCACAGCTGGCCTGGAACTAGCTATGTGGACCAGGCTGGCTGCAATCTCATATTCATCAGATTCTACCTCCTGAGTGCTGGGACTAAAGGCATTGCACCACCACACCTGACTTATTTTTTAAAATAATATTTTATAGTTATTCTGTGAAAGTTTTGGACATTTATACAATGTATTTTGATCATATTAGTTAGCTTTGTAGTAGAGTATGAGTGTCAGGAGAGGCAGGGACATCTAGGAAGCAGTCACTGGAGTTGTAGGTTGGGAATTGCTGGACAGGCAGGCACTCTGTAGGAACCCCCATCCCCCCACACTCATGAGAAAGAGTCTCAGCAAGATAGAACATGTGCTCATTTTTGAAAAGTGATGCCTCTATTTGCTTCAAAATCAATAGCTTTGATTGAGCTAGTTCTTTGTATATTTAGAGGCCAGTAGATACAGCTGGGACAGCCTTTCTAGCAAGCTCAGGAGGGGTGCACCAATCTACTTATTTATTTACTTACTTATTCATTTAAAGACAGGGTCTCACTATGTAGCACTGGCTGGCCTGGAAGTCTCTATGTAGACCAGGCTAGCCTTGAACTCACAGAGATCACAGCTTCTTCCTCCCAAGTGCTGGGATAAAGGGTGTATACTACCACACCCAGGCCAACCCCTGTATTTGTCATTTTAGGTAACAAATGCAAGGTCATATTTGTACCTGCATACTACAGCAGTATGTGTAGGTCAGAGGACAACTTGCAGTTGGCTATCTCCTTCCACCCATGGGGATCCCAGGTATCAAACTCAGCATCATCAGGCATGGTGGCAAGTACCCTCACTGGCTAAGCCATCTTGCTAGTTCCCAGTCCCTTTATTTTAAATATGCAAGTCATTTTATCATGCTCACTATTCAGATAGGCAAACAGACCTCTAAGAAGAAGGAAATACCTAGGACTACACGGTCATGCCACAGGAACAGCTCTCTTGGTCACAAGTCCCTTCTCTGCCTCAGCACAGGGTAGAAACAGTAGCACAGATGTCCAGATATGTCAAAGTGCCCTTTGGACCCTCAAATTTATTTGACTATGAGGGTTCAATGAATGCCATTGTAGATGCTAAACTTGCAACCCTCATCTGGGGCATAAGATCCACCAGGCACAGGGCAGTGAGGGCCAAGTATCAGACTGGGGAGGTAGGGAGGGGGATTTAGGAAAGGTGAGCAGGACCCACAGGCAAGGCTGAATTTTGTGGAATCCTTGCATTAGTTTCTGTTCTCTGGTAGCACTGGGGGTAAGTCCCAGTTGTGGCCTCCTCCAGTTCCACTATGTCAAGATTGGATATTAGTCACTCAGATTTCAGCCTCATAGTCATCACATTGGACTGCCTTCTGAGACCTGAGATTCACTATGTCAGAGGGATGGAAAGGGGTGGAGGCTCTCCCTAGATTGGATTTGGTGGCTCTATTGCATAGCCCCCCCCCGCCCCCAGGAGCCATGGCATGAAGGCACATGCCTATGGAATGGGTGGCCACCAAAGTGGGCTGGAACACTAACTTCCTGTGGTTCATGAAAGGACAGGAGGTGGGTATAAGCACAATGCACAATGAACAACCCTATAAATGCCTACTGACATGCAGGATGCCCCACAGTTCCCAGCCCCAAGGCAGCTTGAAATGGTGTGTGTGTGTGATGATGTATATATCTGTGTGAATATGATGTGCACCTGTATGATGTTTCTGTGTATATGATCTGTGTCTGTGTCTATATCTGTGTGTGTATAATGTGTGTGAGTGTGGGCATGCTCGTACTATGGCATGCACGTGGAGATCAGAGGATAACATTCAGGAGTTGGTTCTCTTCTACCACAGTTCTGCAGATTGAACAAAGGTCATCAGGCTTGTTTGGCAAGTGTTTTTTACCCACTGTGCCATCTCACCAGCCCAGAGTGGCTATTTTTGTATTTACTGTATTCACCAAGGAAGACCTCTTACTGACGTGACATTCAGAGGCAAGCCAGCTCTTCGGCTTTACAGTCGCTCCACAGCCGGAAATTGTCTTCCAGTGCTTCTTTTCAGGCATGTTTGACCCCAGCCTTCCCTCTGCTCTGCACATCTCTATGAAGGACAGGGGATTCCTTTCCTTTCTTGGGTCCCTAACTATGGTTGGCCTCAGTTTGTGCTCCCATACATACATGTCTTATGGATGGACTGAAATATTTTTTAAATAAATATCAGTGTATAACTGGAGTTTTAGCGGGGGGAAAGGTCTGGGCTTCAGCAGCCTCCCAAAGCTAGGCTCAGCCTCTGGTTCCCAGTATATCAATTAAAGAGTTAAACAAGGGTGAGGAGAGAGATTTATTCAGTGTGACACATTGGGAAGAGCAAATAAAGGGAAACCTGCCTTCATGATGTTCTTTCTAGTATATTTAGGCGCTGGAGAGATGGCTTAGCTGTTAAGAGCACGAGCTGCTCTTGCAGAGGACCCAGGTTGGGCTTCCAGCACCCACATGGTGGGTAACAATGGTCCATAACTCCAATTCCAGGAGATCCAATGCCCTCTTCTGGCCTCTGCAGGCATCTCATGACACAGGTGCACTTTTACACACATGCAGGCAAAACACCCATACCAAAAAAAATAAATAAATAAAAATTAAAGCACCTTAATTTGTGCCTTTCTTTTGTTCTGTGACTATTAAAGTCTATAGATTTAGTACAAAATGAATTTGTATTCCCAGGCTATGGTTACTCTTATTTAGCTCAGAATAACTATCTCTTACTCACTTTGAGTTAGAGCTGTGTTTTCTGTAGACATGTTTGTTTGTCTAATTTATTCTGCAAAGTAGCCCATAAAGTATTCTATTTTCATGTTTCTCAAATAGATGTGCTTCTTAAACTGAAAATTAGTCAGTCCTGGTAGCCTGTAATCCCATACTCAGGAGGTCAAGGCAGGAAGACTGCCCTGAGTCTGAGGCTAAAAAATGCAAATTAGGCAGGTATGGTGGTGTACACCTTTAATCCCAGCACTTGTGGGCGGGGGGGGGGGGGGGCAAAGGCAGGCAGATCTCTGTAAGATCAAGCCCAGCCTGGTCTACATAGAGAATTTCAGGCCAGCTGGGGCTACAGGGAGACCCTGGCTCAAAAACAAAACAAAACCAAAAATGCAAATTAGGCCAGGCTTGGTAGTGAGGCCAGCTTGGGCTACATAGCAAGTTCCAGGCCAGCCAGGGCTACATAGTGAAACCCTGTCTCAAAAAAAAAAAAAAAGAGCAAAATTAGGGGGCTATCAAGATGACTCAGCAGGTAAAGGATCATTGTGAGTTCAAGGCCAGCATGGGTAACATAGTGAGACCCTGTGTCAAGGAAACAGCCAACAAAACAAAACCAAAGCAAGAAGAAAACACTTGCTCAGCCCCCTCTCTTCCTCTACAGGGAGTGTCGATTGCCAGATTTGGAAATGTCACTCCAAGATGTATGCACACAGGTATGCGCTCTGGAGAGGACTGGTAGGTGAAAACTAAAAATGGTTCTTCAGGACCAATGACATAAACTGGGGTTTGGATGTCAGCCATGGAAAAGCAATTGCCATAAAGAGGTCAGGGATCTTAAAGTTACAGCAACAAAACAAATGAAATCCATATGCACGTGCTGCTGTAAGCTTCACTGCATAACTTTTACAAAGGCAATGGGACTAGTCTGCTTTGAGCCCCACAAAAATGTGAAATTTGAGACAAGGAGTCTCAGCTACAATGCATTCTATTGGTTATGTAGTAAATTCTTCTTTTTTAAAAATATTTTTGGAGGCTGGTGAGATAGCTCAGCAGGTGAAGGTGTCTATCACTATGGCTGATGACCTGAGTTCGATCCCCAGAACCACATGGTGGGTTGCCCTCCACCCCCATACATGCTGTGGCACATGCATATTCCCTCCCTCTCCCTTCTTCTCCCTCTCTCTCTCTGTCTCTCCCTCTTCCTTTCTTTTCCTCCCCACAAAATAAATAAATCTTTTTTTTTTGAGACAGGGTCTCATGAAGCCCAAGTCATCCTCAAATTCAGGTTGTCCTGGAACACCTGATTCTCCTGCCTCCGACTCCCAAGTACTGAGGCACTTGGTTATAGGCGTACACTATCGTGCCCAGCTTATATAGTAAAGTCAGTGCTCTTTTTAAAGTTTGATTGAGCTTGGCAATAATGGTGCATGTCTGCAATCCCAGCACTTGAGAAGCAGAGGCAGGACTGCCAGGAGTTCAAGAGTAGCCTGAGCTACATAGCAAGACTGTTTTTTAAAAAGTCAAGATACATGTTAATGAGTGACTCAGAAACTCAAAGAGAAGGAAAACTTGTGGCAATAAATAAATCACAACTACTTACATTCTTCTGTGAAAAGCAATAAAGGGCAGCAAGAAGCTAAGCATGGTGGTGTAGTCCTGCAGCCCAGCACTCAGAGGGTGAGGCAGGATTGCTTGAAGGCTGGAGTTCAGGGCCAGACCAAAGATGCAAGGATCTTGAAGCCATCCCAACCTGTGAAGGCTCTGGGTACAGATATAGGACCAGGACCATGGTTGGGGTCAGATGAGGGCTCTGAGGGACAGTGCAGCCTTGTGTGTGTGAGGACTCCAAGGCCAATCCCTTGCAGATGTCTTTCTTTGTGAAGGCCCCTCTCACTCCTAAGCTTGCCCATATATGTTCAAGGACACATGAAGGCACACAGACTCACCTCGACTTGGACCCCAGGAAATTATGTCTGACACTCAGTTCAACAGTGGCCAATTCATCATGTACCCTATTCCACTAAATGGGTGATACTGTCTAACTTTTAAAGTGTTCCATATACAGTCAACATGACATAATGATGTTTTGATCAACAACAGATGGCAGGTATAAGGACAGGAAATCCTATCACCTAGAGTGCTGTCAAGTCCCGCACATGACACATCCTGTGGCTATAGTGGGCACAGCTGGGGGTCTGGGTGGTGTCCTACATCTGGGCTAGTGTCCTTGGTCCTTCCATCCCTCCAGGTTCTCCTTTGGGTGAAGGCAAATGGCAGGGAGCAGTGCACTGAGGCAGGCCCTGACTCAGTCACTTTCTGTGGCTAATCACATAGTACCCCAGTCTGGAGGAGCTGTGAACGTGAGTGATTTAGAATCATGCTTCCAAGGTCCAAGGTGGAGGTCGTGCCCTAGGTGACACCTTGACAGAGTCCCAAGGTGCAGCAGGCATCAACATGGCAAGAGGCAGGACACATACTGTGTCTTTTGGGGTCTCTATCTTCTCACAAGACACCAGGATTCGGTTACTGACTGGATCAGGGCCTAATCACTTCCAAAATATCCCCCTGGAGCATTAAGTTTCCTCCCTCTTCATCCCTCACAATGAGGATCACATCTCAACACATGAAGCCTTGGGGAACATTCAGTCCATTTCCAAATCACAGCAGGGCCCCATTCCTGAGGGTTGGACATGGCAACCAATGACACCCAAGTCCTGTCACATGGGGTCTTTAGGTGAACAGCTTGAAAAGTGTTGGTCCCAGCCTCCTTCCTGGGGCTGAGTGTGAGAGGGTGTCCATGCAGAAAAGACCTGGTGAACAGACAGAGGTGGTAGTCTTTCCCCACTGTTGTTGACAGGATACTATGCACTACTAACCCAGATAATCCAAAGTCCAGCTGTGCACTGGAGTGAGAACTGGTATGAAACTGAGACCTGCATCTCATCAGGTCCTGGTCAGGGTCTTTTTGCTTCCAATTTTCCCTCCCCCAAGATGGGAGGCCTGAGAGAAGAACCAAGACTGGCCTTAGACAATACTCCCTGCTAGAACCATCCAGGAGGGGAGAGGGATGACACAGCCAGGCTTCTGTGGGAACTGAGGTGGCTAGACCTGTCCTGAGGTCAGTGCAGGATGATGCTCTTACAGCCTCTGCCATGTTTCCCCCAAATGCATTACAGGGTTCCTCCAGGATAAGGTTGAGGGAACATGGTCCTGGGTAACCATGGTCTTTATTTTAGTGCCAAAGCCTCACATCCTGGGAAACTATCCCAAAATTAGGGGAGTAAAAGATCAGTGTTTAGGATGACTGTGTCAAAGCAAATGTCTATGTAATGATCCCATTCCCAGAGGTGGAGGCATGTGGTGACTACTGACCACCCCCCAGCCTGGGTGCAGGTCCTTACATACCCCCTCAAGTACACACTGTGTAAACACCAGCATACCCACACTCCCTCACACACACCTGAGAACACATAGGTCAACATACTCTAGCACATAGCTGCCTGGGGACACACTTGTACAGTCTCACTCTGGGGCTCCAAAAAGTTATCTCCAGATCAGTCAAGGTCTGCCTCCTGCTCAGGTCTGAGCTTTGGGAAGCAGTGTGTGCCATCCTTTCCTTACCTGATGCCACTAGCAACTCCAAACCTGCCTCTACATTTGCCACTGCCAGCTCCCTTCTTGCCAGATCAGGGAGCAGCTGCTTGGACATGCTTTACCAGAGGAGACTGCAGGCCTTCCTTGTCCCTGTCCTGGACCCCTACTCTCTGGGGCCCCTGTCCCCACTACCCCTGCTCTGATTGCCTGATCCCAGGAGCCCCATTTGTGTCCCCTTTTCCCCTGGACACTCTGATCCCTGGAGCTCTTATCTCCTCACACCCACTCTCTACACATCTGCCCTGGTCATCTCTGATCCCCAGGGGGCCCCATCTCCCTGCCCCCACACCTATCCTCTCCTCCCCAAGGTCCCTATTGCCTCACCTCCATCCCCGACCCCTACCCTGGTCCCATCCATTCCCCTGGTCCCTATTTGCCACTCCAACCTTCCCTCTTCCCCTACATTCCCTGCTCGACGTCCTCACAAGCACTTTCCACCCTGCAGTGGCCTCACTCCCAACCCCAGGATTTGAAGGTGTTCTCCCCACAGCCCAGCCTGCTCAGTCAGGATGTTCAGCAGCAAAGCCTCCCGCAGTGCATGCGCAGATGAGCCCACAAACAGCTCTGAGAACATTTTCCTGTCAAGCACGCAGCAAGTCGGGACCGTGTTCAAAGGAGCCTGTTTTTATCAGGCTCCAGACATAAGGAAAAAATTAGGCTTCGAAGGAGGTATGAGTCCAAATCTGAAGAGTCTTGTTTTGGAAACCTTTCCTTTGAAAAGCTGGGAAAGGCAATGCTGCCCAACTTTCTTCTGAACCTGTGGTCATTCCATTATTTGTTCAGGCTGTGTGCTGCCACATGGTTCTAGAGATGAACATCTGCTTTTGGTGAGACCTGGAGCCCTGGTCCCACCCAGCACTCTGGCACCACTGGGTGCAGTTGGTCCACTCACCCATCAGTGTCTGCCTGGGCACTCAGCACTGAATACTTCAGCTGCCTTGGCCAGTGCCCTTACCCAGGTCTAGTGTCTGACTACACTATCTAAAGACACTGAATGAAAAACTCCCCCAAACGTTTCTTCAGTCTAAAATTGCACACCCTTTGGGCAGCATGATGAAATTTCATGGCCCCAGCTTAGTCCTGGCACCATGGATATGAACCTCCCCTTTGTCCAGCTTTCTGTGTTCCCACCCCATAATGACCTAGTAGCCTTCTCCATGATCAGATTAACCATCACTATACACCAAAGATCAGTCATGAACATGGTTCTTTCAGCACTTGGGAGGCAGAGGCAGGCAGATTTCTATGAGCCTGGTCTGCATAGAGAGTTCCAGGCCAGGTGGAGCTACAGGAAGACCTACCATGCCTTTTTAAAAAAAAAAAAAAAAAAAAAAAAGTGATTCAAGTGGGAAGGTGAAATGCTCCATGTAATAAGCAATGAAAAAAATATATTGCAGCACCTGCTAAGTTCTAGGTAAGTTTTTTACGTGCCACCATGCCCAGCTAGATTTGTTAATCTCTTACCATGCTTGATTTAAAAAGTATATATTTGTTTTATTTTATGTGTATGAGTGTATTGCCTACCTATATGTGAGTGCACCCATGCCGTGCAATGCTGCGGAGGTCAGAAGAGGGCACTGGATTCCCCTGGAACTGGAGTTAAGGACAGTTTGTAGCTGCCATGTGGGTCCTGGGAATCAAACCCAGGTCCTCTACAAGAGCAGTCAGTACTCTTAACCACTGAGCCATCTCTTCAGCCCCACCATGCTTGATTTTAATTCACAAAATCAGATATGTAGGCACAAGAAAAAATAGCAAAGCCAGAGTCTGGTACCATGTGAGGTTTCAGGCACTCACTGGTGGTCTTGGAATACACTCCCTACAGATGTGTGGATGTTGTGCTAAGTTTTAGTCAGAGAAGGCCAGCCTGACAGGGACCATCTCTGCCTCCTCTTCCTAGGTGCCCCTGAATCAATTCTATCAAGTCATCCCCAACACCTGTGCACACACACACACACACACACACACACGCACGCACGCACGCACGCGCACACAGTTCTATCAAGTCATCCCCAACACCTGTGCACACACACACACACACACACGCACGCACGCACGCACGCACGCGCACACACACACACACACACACACACACACACCTGGGCCTTGGTGTCTCCTCTGAGCTCCAGGCAAGTTCTTCCCCAGCCACCTTCCCTCTCCCAGATATAGTTGAGGATCTGACTATTTCTGGTGTGAAGGCCTGCTCCTTCCTCCTGGGCCTCCAGTCCCCAGGAAGCCCTCCCTTTCCTTTCTCCCTGGGTCAGGGGTTTGCTGAATGATTCCAACGCCAGGAACACTGAATTCCTCTGATGTGTTCTTTGAGATCAAGGCCCTTGTAAGACAGAGCTAAGAAAGTGAGATTTTTGAACTGCAGGGTTACAAAGGACTCAAGAAGTCCATGTTCATCTTCTCACAAGTCAGAGATCATCTGCTTGAGGGTGTCTTGACCCCTGAAATCTCTCCAGCTTGGTGGCTCCTGCTGTGTAGTGTGCAGAACCTGGGCTAGCCACAGACCAACTCCCTTGATTCTTCCACATGGGAAGAGTTGAAGGATCCGAAGGTGGGGACCATCAAGATCACAGAAACCCAGACCTTCTCTGTCTGCTTTCTCTTCTCTTGATACTGCTGTGCTCTTCAGGCAGCCTACACCCATGGCCATCGAACTGTGATGTCCTCTCTCGGACCAGCCTGCATACCCTGAAAGATTCCTAGGCCCACAGTGCCTCCATCTTTTGCTGATGTCACTGCTGTAAACACCATTTACTTCTACATAAACAATTAAATTAAAAACATGCCTCACATGTGGAACAAATCCCACCAGCTCCATGGATGGGCTGTGAATGCACCTAGCCCTTTCACTGTCAGTCGACAGAAAGAGAACAAGAATGCCTTTCCTCCCCCTGGGTGTGGCAGCCAGTGTGGCTATCCCAGCTAAGGCCTGGTTGGGTTTCTGAGCTGGCTGCCAAGCTGCCACTACCCTGCTGGGGTACTCATGGCAAGAAGTTCCTGTAGCAGTGACAGTGTTGGTCATTTGTGGGTAGGGCTAAGGGCGGTGCAGAGTGTGGAGACTGTGTCTCTCCACAGCTTCACTGTGTCCCTTTTGTCTCAGGAGACATTCCATGGATGAGAGCCACTGGAGACCAGCAGGACTAGCAGGTGACAGCAGGTGCTTCACAGGTGAAGACACTGAGGGTAGGAAGAGAAACAGCAGGAAGGTGGGCTGTACAATCTGGGACTGGGTCAGGAGTCTTGTCTAGCTGGGCTGCTGGGACTCTATCACTATACATAGAAAGAGGGACAGCTCCATGTTACAGACACAGAAATAAAAAGCTTGGAAGTAGAAGTGATTCTTGGAGCCCCATAGACAATGCAGTGAGACCAGCATTAAAGAAGAGCTGAAACATGCATAGAAGAATCACAAGGTTTTTGAGGATGTTTTTATCAGCAGAAACACTGCGAGCTTGAAATGAAAGGTAGCGAAGGACAAGTGGAAAAGGGCTGTTGGGTTTCTATTTTAGTTCCCTTCTGTTGCTGTGATAAAATACTCTCACCAAAAACAACTTGGGGAGGACACAGGTTCATGCTCAGCTAGCTTTCTTATATAGCCCAAGACCATCTGCCTAGGGTTATACCACCCACAGGGGGCTTGGGCCCTCCCACATCGATCACCAATCAAGACAGTCCCTCATAGACATGGCCCCAAGCCATTCTGATAGATGTAATTATTCAATTGAAGCTCCCTCTTTGCAGGTGACTGACTCTAGGATGTGCCAAGTTGGCAATAAAAACTAACCAGGATAGTTTCCAAATTTCACTGAGTCATAAGTGAGGGCCAGACCATGGTTTCCTGGATGAAAGAAAAAGAGCCAGATTCTCAGATTCCTTGAGATTTCTAAGACCTACTGTACACATAGCTTTCTGGTATCTGACAAAACACTAATAAGGTACTAGTGGAAGAACTCAGCAGGCAGATGTAATCAAGGTCTGGAATGAGTTGACTGTGAGACAGGGGGAGTATTCCCTTGGGCCAAACATCTCCACTGGGATAGGAGAGCCCAGGATCTACAGTAGGGTCTTTTAGTGTGAAGATGGAGGCCATGGGGTGAGGAGTGGGGCAGGGAAATTCCAGGAGCTGAGAGCAACTTCTGCTGGCAGC